TTTTGGGATCTCACAAAATTATTGTTATTTGAGCTTTGATAGCCTCTGCTTTTTAGTCGGACATGATCCGTAAAAGCCGGATAGACCCAGCTGCCATTTTTTTCTTCTACATTCTGCTGAAAATAGGGCTCTCTATGGTGCCTTCCTTATTCTTTTATTTTATACTCTATTGTGTTATTTGAACTTTATATTGATACTAGGGATGGAGTAGGAATGCAAACCAGGAGAGTCGCTCTCGAGTCAAATGTCGACTTGAGTTCAGTCAAAATTGAGGTCGAGTAGTTAATCAATCAAGCAAACAAGAGCATCGGGCATTGTTTCGACGAGTCGATTTGAACAACAAATCGAGCTCGTCTATCAAACAAGTCGAGTCGAACGTTCTCGCGAATAATCCGGTTGGAGTTTTGGGTTCTGGTCTAGGTTTTAAAGTTTATAAAATGACTTGAACTGAGTTTACACGGGTCGAACCCAAGCTAAAATTTTTATTTGTTATATTAAACAAGCTGAGCCACGATAACTCATTATTAAATGAGCATGAATTCGAACGTGAAATACTTGATTTGAATAATCTAAATAGTCACATGTATAAAGAAGTAAAAGTATGAAAATAATTTTTAAATCTATAAATTATATGAATCATACAATAAATAATATCAAAAAGTGAATGTTGCACTTATAAAATAAAAATTATTTTACTTTTTAACTAGTCGTGTTTTATATGAAGATGGCTCTCTTTTCAAAAAATTTGAGTTTTTAACTAGTCTCTTATTTTATTTTATTTTTTTTACAACGATAGGAAATTTTATATAACACAAATGTACAAAGAAAAACAAGCGAGAGCCAACAAACTCAATGTAACCAAATATCACACAACCTTGGTGGCCTCTAAACAAACTAGCCAACAACAAAAGACACTAAAACAAGTGTTAATGCAGCAAAACATGCTGAGACCATAATGCTGCAATAACCCTCCACAACAGAGCACAACAATCCACAGCGAAAGAAAGAGAAACCAAACTACTAACAGGTAAAGTTTCAAGCAGGAAAGGAGTTCCCACTGAAACCGAATCGGACCTAGACCCCCTTCATTCCAACTCTCAAATGTTCCTGCTTGGTCTACTAGCAAGCTCCTGCCAATTCGAGACTGCAACCTTGATAATAATATGCACCAACATTCATTCTTTTTTGAAGATCCTTAGTTTCCTTGGACTTCCATAACCACCATAAAATGTAGGTAGTTAATGTATGTGAGCCTATGAAATCTCCTTGTGATCCACTATACAAACCATATCCCACCAGACTCTAAACTTACTCTAAACAAGAGCCAACTTCCAAACTTATCGTGCCTTGCTGCGGCTGAAAAAAAAGGTGCTCAATAGACTCCACTTCCTCTCCACAACTCTGACAAATATGATCAACTGTCATGCCTCTCTTTTTCAGATTTCCTTTAACTGGTAAGGTGTTTGTGTAGCTCCTCCAATGAATATGTTTCAACTTACCCTTTATATTCAGCTTCCAACTCTTTGACCTCACTTTCTTGCTTCTGATGGCCTATATGCTACTCTATTCAATGTCAGGATTTCCAAATTTAGCCTCCACAAACTTAGAGTAAATCTTAGCAACCACAAACTCATCTTTGGCATTGTTCTCCCAAGCCCATCTATCAGCTTTAGTTGGTTGATTGACTTGATCCTTAGTATACCTTTTCTATCCTTTTTTCGAAACATGTGCTTGACAAGAGCCTCATTCCACTGACAGCCACAAGTTTCCAACAATTCCCATACATAATGAACATTCATGCTTACCCCTGGTTGAGCCACAGGAATACCTGTTGGAGAAGATGGAATCCAGGAGTCCTGCTAAATCTTTGTAGTTAGTCCATCACTAATTACCTTCCTGAAACAATGCTAGTATTTATTCTTCACCCTCATCCATGTACCCCACAACCACGAAGAGATTTGATTTTTATAAGCATTGAAGATATGGCCAGAGGGGAAATATTTCCCTTTAAGTAATTTAGTTACCAACAAGTTGGGCATTGTTGCAATCCTCCAAATTTGTTTGTGAATAAGAGCTTCATTGAAGAGAATTATATCATGAAAGACAAGCCCACTACTGTCCTTTGGTAGAGTAACCAAATTCCAAACTGTCCAGTGGATACCTGCACCCTGGTCCTCACCCTTGCACCACCAAAACTTTGCAAATAACCCAGTAATCTTATCACATAGAGATAAAGGGAAAGTGAAACATGACATTGTGAAGGCAAGGAGGGCATTGAGAACTGTTTCATTAATACTTTCTTATCAGCCAAAGACAAGAATTGTTCTTCTAACAAGAAATTTTATTCCTAGTTACCTCCACCAGAATTTAGAACTGACTTCATTAATAAATGCACCTTATGCCCAGAGAATTTGTTGTACAGATCAAAAACATTGAGAACCACTCTAACAAACTGATCATCAGCACAAAAAAAAAAAAAAAAAAAAAAAAAAAAAAACTAGGAAACCATCAGCAAACAGGAGATGAGATAACTGAATACCCCCTTTAGCAATTCTTAAACCAGACAGAATGTGCATAGGTGTTCTCTAGCTAGAAAAAAAATAATAATAACTTCAATTACTTCTTTTTCTTGCGAAACGACAGAGGTAACTATTATAAATCTCAAAGCGAACAGAGTTCGAATACAGAGCGATTAAGAACCGAAGAAGCTAAAAGTGAGAGACACGCTAAAAGCGGTCTAGAACCTCAACAAACTACCAAACTACAACAAACCAATAAAAACACAAGCCAAAACAAAGAAAAAGATAGAGAGGACTTCTACCACTGCCCAACAGCCTAGCAGAAAGCATCCCCACTAACCAAGACTGAAAAAACTATCTAACAAACCAAAAAAAAGAGAGCAATCAAGAAGAAGCAGCAACAAAGTCCAACCAATCAGATTAGAGAGTGTTCTCGAATGAAGGATTTGTGAAAGAGCCACAGATTCCTTGACTTCCGGAGCCACCTAAGCATATAAGTAGTAAGTTGAATCCTAGCCTCTGCCACCTCTGTACAGTCAATGGAACAAATCTGGTACCACCATGCTTTGAAGGAGTCAGTGTGCTTGTTCAATCCATCCCATTGGAGAGGACTCAGTTTCCAGAATCTTGTTGCTCTTGAACAGGTGAAGAAAAGATGCTCGACTGTCTCAGCAGCTTCACCACATAGGGAGCATGTGGAATCCAATTCAATACCTCTCTTTCTCAGCTGAGTAGCTACAGGTAGAGAACCATGAATGCATTTCCATAAGAAATGCTTAATCTTGCCTGCTATTTTAAGTTTCCAATGCCTGTAGGATATAGAAGACTTGGACTCTGAGTTGGAGCTGCATTTTGGAAAATCAGATGAAAGGATCTTCAGTGTTGTGAGGTGAGGAGTTAGGAAAGTACCTGTCCTTTAGCAGTCTGCTGACTAAGAGATCTGGTTTGGATGTAATTCTCCAGAGTTTTTTGCAAATTAAAGCCTTATTGAAGAGTTGAAAGTCCAGAAGTGCAAGTCCTCCATTATCTTTTGGGAGTGAAAGATGACCCCATTTTTTCCAGTGTATTCCTTGAGATTGTTCAGTTCCAGATTTCCACCAGAACTTGGCACAAAGTCTTGATATTTCTGAACAGATGGAAGATGGAATAATAAAACATCCCATTATGAAGACTGATAGGGCTTGAATCACTGACTTGATAAGAACTTCCTTCCCAGCTGGACTTAGAAGTTTAGCTTTCCATGAAGAGAGTTTGTTTATGATGGATGTAAGCAGATAATCAAAAATTTCTCTCTTGGGTCTGCCAATTCCCAGAGGTATGCCAAGATACCTTGTTGATCTATGAGACACAATGTTGTTTAAGGAGCTGCAAATGGACCTCTGAAGATGCATATGTGTATTTCTGCTAAAAAATATAGCTGATTTCTATAAGTTTACCGCCTTCCCTGTGAACAACCTATATTGCTCTAGAATATTCATCAGAATACTAGCTTGATCCACACCAACTTTGCAGAGGAACAAAGGATCATCTGCAAACAGGAGATGTGAGAGCATGGGGCCATTTCTTGACAATTTCATCCCTTTCAGCTGACCAGATGAGATAGAATGAAGGATGAGGGCAGATAATAATTCAGCTACAATAAGAAACAGGTAGGGGGATAGGGGATCCCCCTGTTTTATTCCCCTTGAGGGTGACACAAAACCACTGATAGAACCATTAATCTTAAAAGTGAAAGAAGCTATGGATACACATAGCATAATTAACCTGACAAAATCAGGGTGAAATCCCATTTGCAACATAATTCTCTTGATACTGTCCCATTCAACTCGGTCAAAATCTTTGATAAGGTCCAATTTAAGTGCCATAAAGTAATTAGATCCAAATGAATGCCTATTCAAAAAATGAAAAGCTTCTTGTGCAATTATCACATTATCAGTGAGTTGTCTTCCCTTAATGAAAGCAGTCTGGAAGTCACTGATGTAATGTTGCAAGC